CTAGAGCAAATGACTGCGAGTCTTAGGACTGTGTTTATTGCAATTTGATTTTGACAGGTTTTTTTTGGACTCACTTCTCGCACGGAAGTTTGGCCGGTCATGTGAGAAATGTGATGGTCTGCATTGTTAAATTTTATGATTGTTATACCTAATTATTTTGAATGTGCAGTGCAAATGTCGATTTTGGACACACTTTCGGAAATTATCCTGAATCGAAATGTTGTGCTATCCCCCACACATAACGACCAGCTTTTCTTCGGCGGTCTCACGCACCTTTTATTCATGCTTTCGGTCACCCCGGACATTCTTCCAAAGGAGGAAGAGGCATCAAAACTTGATCGTGGCAGCGCCCAGGTACCGTTTTTGCTGTCACGCTGCGAAGCAGCTTATAACAAATAAAATCTCGAATTTGTACATCAGCTCATCTTGTAGTTTCACGGTTGTTTTGTGAGCAGGAATTGGGGTAATGCCGGTTGTATCTTTCGTATCTGTATGCAAACCCGTTGCTAACATTTCTTTTGTTTTTCAACTTCATTAGCAGCGGTGTTTTGTCTTTCAAAGTGCACTGCATTTGAGGTAGCGGTATGCGCTTCGCAAGTGTGGAAGGAGGTTTGTGCTGCAAAGCGTGGTCTTCTAGAAGAAGTTTTTCACGGCAGCTTCGTCACGGAGCTGAATGCGGCACGCGCATTGCTTTCTCATGCGGCAAGCCTACAGTGGTTATCCTTTGTTGATTCACAGATGAATTCTTCAACTCCAAAAAGTGCTTCGCAAATTCAGCAGCACATTCAGTCGGTTTGTCTAATTCGTCTACTTTTTTACTGCATTTTGCGCAGCATTTGCGTCCCTAAGCTAAATACGCTTGCAGAAAATAACAAAAGTGGCCAGTGGATTGCAGCGTTTGGCAAGTCGGAAAACACTGAGCAGCTCGAATTCAGTTTCCAGCTTCACGTTCTGGCGGCAGTCCAATATTTCCACAGAGGTTACTTGCCTGATCTTGTAAATTTCGCTGCAGTTTTCCAACTGAGAGGCGGGCAAGGCGGGTGGATATTAAGAATAAGTATTCCAATTTCGGTTCATAGCGCTTTCTAACTTTTTATTGCATTTATTCACTTTTTGACACAGTTTGGGCATTCGAAGTTTATTCTATCCTCTCTCTACTGCGTTAATCATTTCATTGGAGTCCTCTCTAGATTCTTCGTCCCTTTCATCTAACTTCTGCT